TGTCTCGGCCACACCCCAGACTGGCCACGGCCGAGATGTCTCGGCCACACCCCAGATTGGCCAGGGCCGAGATGTCTCGGCCACAGCCGAGATTCGCAGGCACTACCCTTCACAGGCAAACGCGAAGTCTCAAGAGTAGCCTACTCCGAAGAAGTGGGGGGCTCGGGGCAGGGATGGAGGCCAAAAAAAAAAAAAAGAAAAAGAAGAAATAAAAAAGTAAAGAAAAGAGGACATTCGAATCCGCCTGCGGGACATCCGTTAAAATTGGAGGGATACAGAGAAGATTAGCCTGGCCCCTGCACAAGGATGACATGCATAAATCGAGAAATGGTCCAAATTAAAAAAAAAAAAAAAAAAAAAGAATCCACCTCCGTCGGGAAGGCCCTCAGGTCACCAGTGCTTTGAGGAATGTATCTGGCCAGGAAGTGAGGAACATGTGAACAGGTCGTTTTTCTTTTTTGTTTGTTGTTGTCAGGTCCGTGTAGCGCCCTGCCAGCCAGGCAGGGCGGATTCCACGCGAGGCAGCTAACTGCCTTGCTTCAGCAAGTACTGTAGCATCCTGTATCGGACCGCAATCACAGCATAAGGGATGTTTTTTTTTTTTTTTTAATCTGCTGTTCGTGGATAGAAGAGGGCCCTGACTGAACTTCATACGGCCGAGTTTCAACTGCAATTGAAACTCGGGCCCTGACTAAACTGCTAAAATGCAGTTTCGAATGCAATTACAAACTGTTTTCGTGACTGCGCCGAAGTTACCCCAAAAAACAAACAAGACTTTGCATTTCTAGGTGATGATTGGCATTTCTTTTTTGAATTGCAGGAAATTAGTTTATTAGATGTCCTACATTTCCTAGTTTTTTGTGCATTTTTCAAGCCCGTACTACTACACAGTGTACACACCTCAAACGGCTGCCATTGAAAGAACAGCATTCCTTTTGTTTAAACCACCAGTACTTCTTACAGTCGTGCCTGTTAACAAGCCCCAATTTTAGGAAACGTACGGGCCACTACAGGACCGCCCAAATTCATCCAACTAGAAACATTTCGGCTGATAGCTGGGCCAAGTACTGGTGGTTTAAGGTCAGAAAATGTGCAGAGACTGGTACCAAATCATGCCTTATAGGCTCTTAAGGGTGATATTTACCCGACTGCTATGATAATCACTCTAAGCTGTCAGTGGGGGTGGGGGGGCATAGGTGGTGTCCCTGAACCCCCACAGTGTCTGTGTGTGCTGCCCCCCACCAGCCACACATATGTGACAGACTGTCTGTCACAGTCGGTTGGCAGCACACACCTATGTGACAGAGTCTGTCACAGTCTGATGGACATACTCTCTCTCTCTCTCTCTCACTGTCTCTCTCTCTCTCTCTCTCTCTCTCTCTCTCTCTCTCTCTCTCTCTCTCTCTCTCTCT